ATTAATTATACTCCTGGGTACAACACAGTTTCAGAAGGTAATGAGGCAAACGATGCGCGCGAAGATAGCTCTCCACAATCATGTAAACATCGCAGCGCATCTGGCGATGATTAGGACATGATTTCTCGGGAATCGCTGGTTTGTGACGCAGTACGACCACAGTGAACTATCTAGACGGTGAAACCAGATATCTCAATGATGAAAGCAGCACGAGACAACCGGACTGCGCCGGTGACATCCGCGTATACCCATCAACGCACGGAAAAAGGATGATGGCAGCCGCGGTAATATGAGACACCACGACGGCTTTTCGATCGGGTGGATACCGAGTGACCGCAATTGTCAGTTTATTGGGGCTATTGACGCCGACAGTCAATTGGCAGGTCTATGCCGACCTACCTTTTCAGCGACTCGACAAAGATGGAGAAGCAGAGGGCGATGAGGAACACAGAGTTGACCAGGGCGCCGAGCACCTCCGCTCGTGCCCAGCCGAACGTGTTCTTGGACCACTTCTTTGGAGACATCTGTTGGAACAGCGGAGCAGCAATAAGTGGCACTCAAGAAGGGGCGCAATATCACAGGAAAGGCAGGGTGAATCGATGTAAAATTGCCGTTTTTCTGACGTTTCCAATCACTTGTCCTGTAAGTGCCCAGATAAGCGAACTTTGTTCAATGAACCTACGTGAAATAGGACAGTAAGAACGGTATCGTCCGGAAATGGCAAAACAAACACACGCAGCACACACGAATGGCGTGCGCGGCCACTCGAGTCGGTCGGACACTCACCCGCACTGCTAGGAAGGCCACGACCAGCGCCACCACGTCGCTGAGCATGTGGAAACTGTCGGCCACCAGCGCCATCGAGTTGGTGGCGTAGCCGACGATGATCTCCACTAGGAAGAAGGTGGTGGTCAGGCTGAACATGGTCAGCAGCCGGCACTTCTTGCCAGAGTATTTACCCATGGTCTGCCGAACAGATGGTCAGCTAGGGTCAGGTCCCTATACCAGGATTAACGTAATCTGGGATCTGGCAAATCGCGACACTTTGCTGCGACATACGGAAAATGGGTGAAAATGGTCACAAACGTACTTCATTGCAATCGTTTCTCAAAATATCAGCAAGCGGTTAAAGCTATGCAACGGTGCCGCTATGCTGATGCAGCAGTTACCATTTCAGCTTCGAAAAAAAAAAAACGACACTGAACTAGAGCCGTCATCACAACTCGGCCAATCAAAACCTACACCAATATGGCATCGTCAGCAAGTACCTTTTGTTCACTCTCAGCACTTGTTCGGTATTCAAACTAAGGCCACCAGGCCCACTAAGGCCAACAGCAGGGTTCACTGGATACCGTGAACACGAAGTAGAAACCGCTGAGCCACTACCGGAGCTATGTCCCGTGTGCCGGACCACAGACCAACTGGCAGACCACAGACCCAGACCAGTCAATTGTACCGATCCCGCGCAGCAGCTGACCCATCAGCGGCCCAACAGCTGTCGGTGCCGCGCCGACCCCCGTCAGACAAGCCGTTTTTGTGCGCGCATAAAAAGGTGCGCGCCCGCCAGCGGTGAGCCCAGGGCGAGTTAGCCTACTGCGACAGACAAGAAGGTAACTGCCGGCGACACTCCACCCCTACCGGAGTCGACTGGAGCGGGTTCCGTACACAGCCACTGATACAAAGTCGGGAGGGTGTGTACTCTGTAGATCCAAACTGCCGCAAAGCACACGTGATGCGGTCCAGCCACGTGCTCAGTACAATGGTCCCTGGTATGGGTAGGGTAGTGGAGCCGACCGTCCGTGCCTTGTTCATGACAGCACGACATAGAGGCGACCGGCATGAGCTCCGTTCCGTCTGCACCCGGTAACAGACATACGCTAATAATTGCGCGGGGGAGGGGGGACAGAAAACAGCTATGGCAGATCAAAAGAATGAGTAGATCTCAGAGGTGTCCACTGTCCAGTTTAGATTTATTCCTCCTATCGAGCACCTATCTGGCCATGAAAGATCACAGCAGTGTCGAGCAGGCGATATAGACTGAAGTAACAATGGAGAAGATGGTGAAGTACCTAATGGTGAAGCACCCAGTCAGTACCTGGATGAAAAATGGTGAGACCTCTGCAACTGACAGCTGGTAGCAGCATAATACCATGGGCATAGGAACCTCATAAAAAGTGTGTGTGTGTGTGTGGGGGGGGGGGGCAGTGAAACTTCAAAGTCATTTTGTAAGAGCCCTAATACCCCTAAGGATAAATTTGCAGTTTTGTACTCATCTCACCTTGCTGAACCATTTCCTGCTCTTTGTTTTGCACTTAAATAAGAAATAAAGATTTTACTTTAAAAATGGCTGAAAATTGGGAGGGAGGATGGAAACATGCATGAAAACTGTGCATGAAACACTACTAAAACTATGAAATCTGCCAAACATCAAGGCCAAAGCCAAAATAAAAAAGACCAATGAGACCAGTAGAAGACACTAACCAAAGTTACAGACAAAATAGAAAAAAGTAGCATTATTCTTTCTCATGAGTTCCAGTTAAAAGGAAAAAATGCACAACAATTCTAGCCATCATGCTGAGGGACTTTAAGGCCAAAAGAAAAATACAATACCTCATAACTGGTTTTTGTCCTCCTCCCTCTAATAGCTTCTTAGCTATAATGAACTTATGACATTATATGCAGTAGAAATGGCATAGATAGAGAATCAGATAAAAATTAAAATTAAAATAAATCTATACACCTTCTTGGATCTGGCTCACTTCCCAACACAATGCAAAACATTGAAGTTAGTGGGCATGTGATATTTGTCAAAAAGTAGAATGAATGTCCTGGACTGTTATTGATAGCAAATAGTAATGTGAAGTCAACAATGCTCGTGTTTACCAAAAGCTGTGCATTGATAACTAGTAATAATGGGTTAGAAGCAATAACTTCAGAATACCATTATTTGTGAAAAGCTTACAGTATGAAACATGAAGACCAGGCTTGAAAAGCTTTGATAGACTATGCATTTCTTCAGTGCTCATATCCAAGAGGATGGGATGGAGTTTAAGGAAAGGTATGAGCCAGAATGATGACTGAAATTTATGGTTGTCATTCCAGTGTCAGGCAAGTCTGTTCTTTAATCTTGAAGCTTACTAATGGTGCAGATAAAACATAACCATGCAGCTAATAAGAGTCCAGTTTGAGGATAGCATGGTTTTAAAGCAGTGAATCCAGCCTCCTCTCTTTTTCTTCAGCTTCAAGCCCAGTCCCCTGGTCCTTCAGTTATCAAAAGTTGACCATCATCTTAGGATCAATGGCCAGTTTATTAGTCAGAATCTTGCAGGTCTCTTCACAAACAGATTACCAAGACCAGCCTAACCCTCCTTACTCAGGCTCATATTTTGCAGTCTATCTTCTGTTCAAACAGACTGCTGTAAGACCACTTTCCAAGTAAGTTGACCAGGTGAGACCTGATGTCCTTGAATCGCTCAGTTGCTCTCCTTTGATCTCCTTTCAGGTTTTGTATATCTTAAGCCATGCGAGATCTGACTACTGACAAACTATCTAGTCCATACATCATCCAGCAAGGTGGTAAGTAAGTATTAAGTAAATATAGAAGCTAGAGCCCTAATATGTTCTTGGGGGTAAATTTGATGTGAAGACTACTGGGGTCTGGACTTCATTGTCTTGATTTCAGGCTAAACAACTGCTGGTAAAAGTATACATTGAGTCCGAGTGACTGTAAAAAGATAAAGTTTTCATATTCTTACATTATTTGACATCCTGAATCCAAAAATTATACCTATATGTCCTGGAAATAAAAGAAAAAACATAATCAAACCTGACCTAACCTTACCTATTTACCTACAACCTACCAACCTACAGCCTACAAACCTACAACCTAACCTAACCTAACCTACAAACCTACCAACCTAAAACCTACAAACCTAAAACCTAAATTTTTTGCTGTTACATATTTGTATCAAAAGCGTCACAATTGTCCACTCGGACCTAATATATACTAATACCCAACAGCTATCTCAACCTGGCTCAGTTCAAAGCACCATGTGAGATATTGAATACTCTTTTAAATTACTGAGCCCATTCACATGTGGGATTTTAATTTAGTTGAAAATCATCCACCTAGTTTGAATTGGTGCAGAATACACGTTTGACATCAAGCACCCAGGCCCTGTCCCATCTGATCATACGCAGCTACCCGACACTGCTGGGTCATGGGTAAAGTAATGACCTGAACAGTAATTTTACCAATATGAATAGGTAGGTAGGTAGGTACCTCAACCCACCTAGCTGGAAGCTCTGCGTAGGTTATAGCTGTATGCTGCGTACCAGAGCAGTCAGTCATTTGCTTTATGAAGCTGCAGTTGTCATAGCAAATTCATACTAAGAGTGTCAATGCAATAAAACATATCAGTCATTAATAATAATCAAATATAACTTAGCCATCAACTTTATCTGCTCAAAAACTTAACTCTTTAAACTCACCGCTGACCGCACCGCCACCGCAACCGCGGTCTTTGTCTATTCTTCGGATCGAGCCTGTCGGCCTGTGCTTCACTTGTCAGTGACAACTTGCAAACTAAAACCACAACATTCTTATTTCTTGAAAAAGGTCAAGTAAAACTTGTCACTACCTGCTATACGTCCGCCCTCCCCCGACCGCGCCACTTCTCTGCCGCCGTTCTCTCACAAATCGCTGCTTTGGAAAGTAAACAAAGCACATGTTGGATAGAGATGACAAAAGTACAAAACTCATAACTGCTCTTTGCTTGGCAAAATTCTATTCTTATTGATGATAATTTCATAACTAAATTGATTACAGTTGTTTCGAAAATAATGATGAGGTATCAAGTTTACATATTAAAGTAGAAATTGTAGGAGATAAATTTAAATTGTTTTATTTGCTTTCAAAATTGATTCAAGCTGAATAAGCCAGTTTTAAATGAAAGAAAAGAACAACCGCAATTTTGTAGAGTTCTTGGAATACGGAAAGAAGCGAGGCCGTGTGCGCAGGGTTATTTGTGGTGTGTAATTTAGGCATTATAATTACTTATATTTTCTTTTTTTTTCGCTTTATTTTGGCGAATAAATCAAACAAGGTGCGTATTTGCGTATTTGTTCATTGTTTTGTTCCCGTTATATTGAAGATGTTTGCCGAATGGGTGGTATCAGTATGGGACATGTGTTGGGTTCTGCGCCATAATTGGCTGACGTCTGTTCAGCACGTGTGCGAATTGAGGTCTACTACGTAATTCTGTGTCTTTTAGGTCATAATTTCTTACCAGATCTGATAAAAATATATTTTTTTGTAATAACGAGACTCATTATTTGATACTTACTATTTGTTATGATGATTTCTTGCTTGCTCATCTTACCAGCTGTAGACTGAGATGTTCCACATTTGACTGGGTTGATGTGATTTAAGGAAAAATAGAAATATGGTCCCTTTTGTACAGTTTTTCTTCATTTTGACATGCTGAGTTTTAAGCAGTCTGACCACATTGTGAATCAAATGAGGAATAAACTCTGTCACCTTTTGCTTTTCGACATTTTGAGCGATAAGCCAGTAGGTATAATATGGTCGTCACCTTGTCATACTCAAATGATTAGTAGACTGTTATAGTTTGAGCACTTACATTACTCCTTGTGCCCCATGCTAAGGTTATTACGGAGCGAGCGAAGCGAGCGTAGTCTTTCCTTAGATTAACGGAAATTTCTGAGTATGAGCGGCCGGCCGTGCGGACGCTTTTGCGAGGCTTATATATCAGCAATCACTTGACCGATTTACATGCGGTAATTTTTGTGGGGTAGCTTCATTCCTTCTACCAAGTATTGGACTATTCCCGATGCATTTGGGTGACCCCTTATGCACGTGCCACGTGCAAAATGAAGAGGTGTCAGTTTTGTAATTGTTGCAATATCTCAGTAACTACTTGGCTGATTGCGCTGAAAGTTGGCATGTAGGTAGGCACTCACTAGGCACTGCGTATCCATGTGCCAGAGTTGGGGTGCTGCTGCATGTGCGCCGTGCGCACGTGCAGGGGTCGTTTCCAGATCTCGAGAACGGCTCGACCGATTGCGCTCAAATTTGGTACACAGTTAGGGACCGGTTAGGAGGGTGCCGTGCACAAGTCAGTTGGGACCCGTTTTGCACGTGCGCACGTGCAGCGTGCCGCTTCCAGATCTCGAGAATGGCTGGGCCGATTGTGCTCAAATTTGGCGCATCGCTAGAGACCGGTTAGATAAGGTGCCGTGCACAAGTCAGTTGGAGGTACCCCCTCTAAATTTCGCACGTGCAAGGCCCACCCTCTCGCTCGCTCAGTTAGTCGCCCCAAAAGGCGTTATACTGGTTTGCAAAACTAGATGTGAAGGATAAGTTAACACATGTTTAATGCCATAAACTAAATTTCTGCTTCATACATTTACCGTGCTCTTCTCCTGGGATTGAAAGAGGAAGTGATCCTTTAAAGGGACTATCCCACCTTCTAAAATGTTATTAAAACCAGTTAAATTGTGCCCGACTTTATAGATTGGATGACCAGGAACACGGTTCTGGCATTTATTTTTCATTAGGCTTCCCATTTTCCAAACACAAACTTTCAAATATGTGACGTCACAGCCCAAAATTACCTCCTTCCCCAGGCCACATTACTGTCATAAAGCTGATTCTTTTTACTCTGTAGGCACCACAACAAAGTTCAGACCAAGTTTTAAGCGATTTTTCAACGAACAAACCCATTTAAATCAGAATGACTAAGCGAGGTGACGTCACACTAACGGTCGCTCCATGTTGAAGATAGGGCCTTGTACAAGGCCCATTTTCAAATGAAGGGAACAAATTTCTTCAACACCAAGAGGCCGCGGGGGTTGCAACCTAGATAGATAGTGGTTTCTGAACCTCGCCGCAAACTTGGCTATCTCAACTCAAACCCCATGTTAAAGGTGGGATAGTCCCTTTAATGCTGTTAAGCAGGATACCTTATCTTATATGTTGTATTAGATTTTGTGCAGGTGCCTGATTGATGATTGAATAAAAATTGTCCCCTTTTTTATGATTATTTTATCATCAGCTAATATCAAATGGCATGGGCAAAAACAAATGACATTTAAAACATATAAACAAGCATATACAGCATTTATTGATTGGTTGTTGTGAAGATATTACTGTTTTGTTAACAAAAATAGAGACAAATTGACAATTTTAGCTATCACATTTTTTACTCATGTGATGCACTGGCAAATGAAATGTTATAACTTGAATTCAGTGTTCAAAGGCTGAATGCCTTGATTTAGTCTGATGTGACAAATATTTTGGGCCCTGAAGATTCTATGTAAATTCTTTTTTTACAGTTTCAGCTGGTTTTTGGGGGGTTTCTTCAATATTGAATGAATACTTGCTTAGGCAGAAGGGACTATAGCAAAAATATTTTAGCTGTCAAGTCAGAGGAGCATCTTGAAGATCATGGTCATATTTGGGTTATTCTACTTTTGAAAACCTCTGGAATGCTTAGCTCACTGCCTTTTGTCAGTTTCTCCACCGATGGAGTCATGCAACTAACAGATTATAACTCAAAATCAAGGCTTTTCACTGCTCTGTGCTGGTTATGCTTCATGACCCAGTTACATTTTATTTATTTCATAGATATGCAGATTGTGTGTGATGTCCTGGTTGTGACCCTGCCCTTTGTGTGCTGGCCCAGGTATCTGCGTCACGGCTGCGCCACTGCAGTAGAGGCGCGCGCCGGCCATGTCCGAGCCGGCGCTGGACGAGCGCGCCGGCGACGCCGACGCGGCCGGCTCCTCGTACGCGCAGGCGCTGCGCGGCCGCTCGCTGGCCGACGGCGGCGACGCTGCGGAGGAGTTCCCGGAGCTGGGCCCGCCGACCGACAGCGCCGAACACGACGAGTCCGGGGAGTGGAAACAGTCCAAGAACCGGCGCGCCGACAAACGGCAGCAGGCCCGCGAGCGTCGCGACCAGCGCGTGCGCCGGGAGCGCCGCGAGCGTCCGCACCGCGGCCCGCCGCCCTCAGCGGCCGCGCAGCCGGAGGAGGGCGACCGCGTCGCCACCGGCGAGCAGACGGCGCCGGCCGCGCAGCCGGCTGCCGGCGACGCGGCCGTCTCGGGCGAGGAGGCCGGCGCGCCGGCCGCCGACGAGACCAAGTTCGTGGACGCGCCGCCGCCGAAGGAGAACGCCTGGAGTAAGAAGCAGGCCGGTGCTGCGCAGCCGGCGGCCCCCGCGGCGGCGGCGGCGGCGGCGGCCGAGCCCGCTCAGAAGCCGGAGCCGCCGCCGGCCGCGGTACGGCCTGCTGCGACGGCGGCCGTCCCCAAACCGGCCAGCACAGGTGAGTCGCGCGGCGACACGGCGGTAATTGTGGCCGAGCTGCACACCATCGGTCCGTTCGCGGAACCCGCCGGCGCGATACCTAACAATGCAACTGTTAACTGTGGACGTTGTATACTTGTGTTAAGTGATGTTGTGTGTTGCATTGTATGAAAAATTTTACTCAGAAGGTCAAATGCTACTGAAAGCTCTGATATATTTAATTCTTTGTGTTATCAAACTTACAATACTAGAATAGGCATCAGATCTGTAGTGGGCAAATTTTATTAACAGAAATTCCCAAAGCTGATCTGTGCCATCAATGGTCCTTCAAATTACTGCTGTAGTCAGTTCATATAATGCAGCATTTGCTCGCAATGAAATAATCATTATCCTGCCCTGTCATGAAATGAAGACACAGCAATGGCTAGGTAAAAAGGTCATTGACCTCACGGCCATTGACCTTGGCCGTCTCTTGTCGCGATACGTTTTGGGGAAACGTCAACATTCAACGTAAGCTTGATATTTTTGCCGTTACAAATGATTGACGAGGACGAATAGGAGCGACATTAACAAGTGAGGAGGTTGCGATTTTGTCCTCGTGTACGTGCTGCGTTTCTCCTGCCGGAAGCGCCCTCTCTGGACATGAATGAAAGCAATGGGGTCAGTAGTAAAGGTCATTGACCTTGCAACTGTTTTTTGTGTAAATGGCTGTCTTAAATCACCGATATGTGTGACTTTTTGGGACGCGTAAAAATGGCAAGAGATATTCCGGCCTTTCCAGTCAACATAAGTTCTGAAAGTGGGATTTCTTTAGCCATAGCTTCTCCTAGTTTTCTTTACAGAAGTTGTATTTTTATCTAATTGTCCGAAAATTTTGACTTCCTAATCTTCTGTCAATGCAAGGTGCCAATGTAAACAGAAGCTTAGTGCTGCATGTTGTGTAGAGCCAGAGACACACATTTCTGGCAGATATCACGTGCCAAGTCGCACGCATTGCATAGGTTGTCCCATCAGGAAACATGGCGCCTGTTACATCCGTGATGTTGTGAACGCACAGTGCCTGTAATAGTCGGTAACCCACATAGTTTAATCGCACACCGTCGGGGTAAAGTTTGCCGCTGACGGCAGCTCTGGCGGTGGCGGCGCTGTCTCTCTCTCAGTGGTTCCCCGTATTACTATCTCCGGGATCAGCCGTCTGGTCTGTCCCGGTCTCTGGGCTCCCTGGCGCCGTGTACTTCTCGAGCCGCTGGCCGAGGCACGCCATGGCCTTTCCGCGCACCAACCTTTGTAAGCGAGCGGTGGTGTCCTATCGGCCGGCGATGGCCGCGGGAGCGTCTTCACTGGGTGGCATCCGCCCCACACGAAAACGTCTGCCTCAGAACACTCGCCGGCACAGGAAGGCGCCGATACAACCCCGTGAGTTTGTTCGGGTATATCCAGAACGTATGAGTGGATGGGGCTGAAATTTGGCCAGCGTTTCGTACATCCTTTGAACTTATTTTCTGAAAATGTTAGGATTTCGCCAGGTCATGTCACTGAGCTCTGTCTCTGAGCTCTTCATCTGTCAGGACTCAGGTCATTCATATATGACCCGTCACTTGTCATCCCAAGGTAATCCAGACACTTGATGTCGACCTTGACCTTTTCTCACCAAAAAGTACATCATTCGACGCGTCTTGACAATACGAAACGTCTTGATGCGGCGCCGTTAATTTTACCCGGCAATCGTTTTTTGGAAGTTTCCTGCTCACCAAATCAAATCCTTATTTTATTCATTGACGTGACCTGCGAGATCGTCGTCTTATCTGAGACCTTGAAATCGGGTACCATTGTCTTCTCTCGAAGAGTAACACACTTATTTTTTTGTGTGAAACTTATTCAGTTAGGGTTTAAAATATAAAAGGGTTGTAACAATCGGCACCTCCCTCATGTGACGTCGAAGGATGCATTGCAGAAGCGAATGTCGGCGAGGTTTCATCGTGTTAATTGATTCGCGAGCGCACCCTCAGGCTTTGTGTACATTTGTTAGTAACCTTGAAGAGTAAAATACTGCTCACTTCTCAGCGCTTAGTCATAGCTCATTAGTTTGCCAAAAGATCGAGTTGGATCGGGTCAACTCATGACCTTAGGGGACAGTGGCTCTGATGCTGCGCAGTTGATGATCCACCAATTCGTGTAGCCTCATGGCGTGTTTTCCTGTCCTGAGGTTTCTTATGTACCTTCTTTTGCGGGAGATTTGTTATCGAATATTCCCCAAACTAATCTACCACCCTGACTTGCTCAGGCGTTCTTAGAAACATATTTTTGGGGTCATCTTTGGGTCATTCCATGCTCCATGAGCTAATGAAAGCGTCCCCATAAATCACACATCCCCACTCATTAATTCGATCCTTTTTAATTGAATGGCTGTATTTTGTTAGGTCGCAGTATGTGTGCCACTGGGGTTTTCCAGCCACCGCAGTTGCGATGACTCTGAAGATACATGTGATCATCTGTTCGTATCGTGTTTCCATTGTGTGCAGATGACACGATAACCCGTTTCCCTAGATTGACCATAGATTGACAGCTATCCTGTATCAGACTGCAATGGCACGGATTGAGACTGGGGTTTGTTGGCTGGAAGCAAGCGCAGTTCCTATGCAGTTAGTTAACAAACCTGTTCTTTGTTGATTTAAGCATTTGGGCTCTTTGTGGTACCTAATAAGCGTCTGCTTCGAAGGTATGGGTTTGATGGAGCCCCATATTTGCTTTTATGCTGTTCAACTTGGTCTCTCGATGCGTGAGGTACAATGCGCTTTTTGATGCAGTTAAAATCGTACTCGTATTGTCTCGCGCATACTTATGTGTGAAGTGGATATGGTTTTATTCTCTTAGAGGCCCACCCTTTTAAAACCGAGAACAGTTCCAGTAAAGTAGGTATGATATATAACAGGAAAACGACGTTTCGTGTACTGTCCGGTTAAAATCCTGGTCTCGCGACCGACACACCTGTTCTGCCGTCCAAAGGCAAAAACGCATATGTCGGGTGATGACCTGACCCGACATATGCGTTTTTGCTTTTGGACGGCAGTGTTGTCCCAGACCTTCATCCGGCGGGTGGTACTCGTGTCTTATGGTTCACTGCGTGACACTCATGATTATTTCTTCGAGTTTTCGTTGCACCAAACCTACGGTGTCGCTCGGCCTCGGGTCTACCGCCGTCCGCATTTTGAATTGTTTTATCCCTAAATGTTCACGCCCACGTTTTGTTGCGTCTAAACAAGTTTCAGTCGAAATGTTGTATACATACATTCTGACTTAATATTTCAATGCTGGCACTGGAGATGCGTATTGTGAGTGCGTGTGTATTGTGAGGGGTTCTTAAGCGCATATGTTTCAAGAAATGTTACTATCCAGTCATATTCAGGTTTTACTGCGTGCTCCAAACCTGTCTGTCCAGATGTCTTGAAAAATCCTTTGTTACCAGGGAATTTAGCAGTACAATGAAATGAGTGACGCATGTTGATTCTTTGTAACTTAGAGACACGATCACTCATATTTTTTTAGATTCAGCGGCTATTATTGCTGACACTAAAGCATTTGCGGTATCAGACCAAATAACCGCTGCGCCTCGCGTTTGGCACATGGACGCGAGGCGCGTACTTATTTAGTAGTGTTGGCTGTCGTCTAAATCCGCGCTTCTCGGTGGCTGGGCCTTGTTTACGTTCCTGGTCGGCCAGCGTCGGTGGCGCTGTTTGGTTCGGCGGCACCGCCCAGTTTAGCGCGCGGCCACTCGGGTGGACAAGTGCCAGCGGCCGCGGCGCCGCTACGCAGTACGGGCACGCAACGCGGCCAGGAGGTGTCAGTCGGCGCCGGCCGCCAGCTCCAAGGTCACTGTCCGCGCCGCTCCGAGACAGGAGTGGTCCGCAGAGCGCTTCACTATACACGCACTTAAAAACCGCACCGCCTAGTAACGTTTGGCCGAGCGCCAACTGATGGGCGGTCTCGACCCGGCCGCCAAATCTCCGTAAATAGAATAGTAGTGGAATGTAGTGAAAAGCAGTATCGGACCTGTGTTGCCAGTTCAGCATATGGGTGGCGAGCCTAGTGTCAGTTTAATTTTGCTGTACCACAAGGTCATTTGTTTATGTATGTATAGCCCTCAGCGGTATCAGCTTTACCTATCCGGTGAAACGCTTTCGAACCGGTTTTGGTCGTGTTTCTCGGATTGCGTCACGAGCCTGCTTGGAAAACCATGGCAACTGGAGGAATGGGCGGCGGCGCGGTCCCGTCGCTGTCTGAGCGCCGGGGCAGCTGTCGGGCCGGTGCAGAGGACGGGCTGAGCGGTGAGGGTCGTCGCCGGCGGGGGAGGGTGCACCGGCGCGCGGCCCGTCCGGCCCGGAGAGGGGTGGGAGGTGGGATGCTCGCTCGACCCTGCCTCGGCTCGCCACTGTCCGCCGAGCCAGCACTACTGGCTGCACCACTGCACCCGCCGCTTAGCGCGAACTGGAGATGTCGCTAGAATTCCCGTGCCTCGTGCGGCGGGAATCCCGACCGCTGTAGCCGCTGCCGCCTACCTGTGATTGAGGGGCCATCACGAACTCCTGCGGTACGCCGGAGCGCCGCGGCGCCACTGCCGATCGCCGCCGCGGCGAGTTCGCGTTCGGCCGTCTGCCAGGACAGACATGCCATGCGCCGGGGTGTTGACGCCGCTGACCTGGGCCCGCCTCTTTGTTCCAGACGGGCCGGCGCGGCCGCCCACCGTCGTGCGAGCCAACTCTGGTGACAAGTCAAAAATCAATGCGAAGGTGAGTCAGGGGACGCGGGTGGTGTGCTCCCCGGGGCGGGCGGGGGCCGGGGGGCCGGGCCGTGGGCGGGGCCGTGTCGTCAGCTGTGGCCGGTCGGTGCGCCGCCGGCCGGCAGCTGTGGCGCCCGCAGGCGCCGGCCGACGCTCGGCCATGGCGCTGCGCTCCGCCGGAGACCGAGAGCCGTGTGTGACGGTGACGCCGCGTGCCGACCCGCAGGCGTCCGACTTCAGTGACCTGGGCGACTGGCCGAGCCTGGAGAAGACGAGCAGCGCACCGGGCACGCCGCGGCCGGCCACCGCTCCGGCCGGCTCCGGCTCCGGCCTGACCAACGGCGGCGGCACGGCGCCCTCCTCACAGGACGACGACTCGTCCAAGGAGAACTACGACGAGAACCGGCAGAACGCCTCCGGCACCGACAGCAGCAAACGGAAACGCAGCAGTGAGTACCCGCCTGCCGGCCGTGGACGGACCGCACCGCCTGGCCGGCGGCCTTTCACTGTGTGCTTAGGATCGGGGCCAGCGATTGTATTCGCTGGTCTTGATGAGTTTAGGGTATACGTTCGATGGGCGGTGTGTTCGTAGCGGGATTTCTCGGGAGTTTAGTGGGCCACTGTTATCTGACTCGGGTCGGGAGCGAGGCCGATGAAAAGATCTCGTCTGTGACCTTGGTGTGCGGTGTGTCGGCGCCTCTCCGAGGACCGGGCCAGCTGCCCGGCCGGCTCTCTGCTGTGGATGTGGGTCGCCACCGAGCTGTTACTGGCACCTAATCGGTCAGGGCTGTGACGCTGACTGGGCCTGGTGGCACACAGCCGGCCAGAGTACGTTCGGAACGTCCAGTTTATTTAGTCTGAGATAGACGAGTGACGTCCGATCTCGCAACCGTGCAGTCTCGGAGTGTCGTCATACCAACAGCGTGTCTATTTGTCGTGTGTAGAGCAGCGGAGCGCTGTGTGCGGCTGACTGTTGTGTTTCGTTTGCGCTCCCGGTCCCATCTCTACCGCCGCTCGCCAGTCAATCGGTCGGCCGGCTGGCCTGTCTCGTGTTGTGCTCCCCGTGTGCTCCTGTACGCTCCTGATCCCCTTCTCCCTGCCCCCGATGGCCGGCGCTCGTCAGTCGGTCCGTCTGTCTGTCCCGTGTTGTGCTCCCTGTTCTCCCGATCCCCTTCTCCCTGCGCCCGATGGCCGGCGCTCGTCAGTCGGTCCGTCTGTCGGTCGGCGGCGGCCGTTATCTGGTGCTCACATCTCGGCCGGACCGGTTCTCCGTCTGGCCGCCGCCGCCCGCTCACACCATGGCTGCTCACGCCGCCCCCACCGCCCACCGCCCGTCCGTCTGTTGCAGCGCCCAAACAGAAATGGAAGCCCATGGACATCGAGTTCCGCGGCCGCGGCAAGCGGGCCGATCGGTCGCCGCGCGGCGGCTTCCGCTCGCGCCTGGACCCGCGCAGAGGTGAGTGACGGCCGCCGGGCAGCGCGCGCCGCGGCTATCTCTCCGCCGCCAGCCGCCGCCGCCGGCCGGCCGGACAGGTGGGCTGTCTCCCAGCGGCCGGCGGCCGGTAACACGGGCACGCAGCGGGCGCCGGACGAGCGCCGCCGGCCACCAGATTACCGCCGCCTGCACCGGCCGCGTTTAAAGGGCGCCCCGGCCGACCCGGCTATTAGCCGCTGTGGCAGGTGCATGGCGGTGAGAAATTGGCACTGTGCGTGGTGCTGCTTGTTTTCTGGTTAAATTAGCTCCTGCTGCAGTCGGAAAGTGTTACACCGCGGTAGTTTCTTAGAGACGCAATAAACCCCGATGAAGGTTCTGCGAAGTACACATACCTTAGCTGGAGGCATTTCCTAACGGAATCTTCTCTTGCTTCTTTGTGGCGGCTGTATTTTTAGACACAAGGAAACGTCTACTACGCACTTACCCCAAAACCTGCTGAGACAGTCAATTCGCGTCATGCTGACAATCGGGAGACGTGATCAGTAGAGCCATTGCCCTCACGGTCGACCGTGTCAGGGCACTGATCGCGGCTCCGACCCCGGCACCTGTGGCCGTCGCTCTGTTGACCCTGCCGAGTGACGCAATGCCTCCGCCCCCGCCCCGGGCTGTGCGCCGCTGCCACACGTGGTCTGTGGCGGCGGTCGCCGTTCCGCGCCGCCCTCCCGGAGACGGCCGATGCGGGTTCCATGCGCCGCGCCGGGAGGCGGAGTCGGCGACCTTGGCGGCGGCGCAGCGGCACAGTTCGGCCGGCCGCCGGGCGCCATAATCGCCGCGCCAGCTGACACGAGCGGCGGCGGGGCCACGTGGCCGGCGCCCAGTCACGTGTCGCGCGCCGCCGGCCGTCGGTCGGTCCGCCGAGCACACCGAGCTCAGCGGTAGCGAAACAGCGCGGCACGGACATGAATGAATCATGGATGACGTGTTTATTGTCAGTTATTTGTTACACTGCAGAATGCCCGGAACTGGGGCAGAAACATCCGTGATGTTTTGGTCTTTAAGTCGTCGATGTAAGGGCGGTTTTCAGTGATCCGCGCTCATACCTGTGGCTTCCGTGTCATTGTGTAGAATTGAGTATTTTTCAGCAGGTGAAGCCAAGTTTTGATCTAATCTCCGGAAAATACACATGGCATCGTGTTTCGAGAAGGCAGAACAAAGTTCACGTGCAATAGCTTCCTTTCAATCAACTTCCAATGTAATGTTTCTATTGGAAGATCATGATGAGCTTCGATAAACATTTCTGATCGTTCCAAGGACACAGTGGCAGTTACTGCGCAGTTGTCAGAATAATGCGTTTTAAAAGGATGCTTCTCCTTATTCGAGGTAGCGCGTGTGGATCGCTGCAAGCTTGCATTCAGTTGGACTTGGGAAATACGTCCGTCTATAATTGTTACATTCTGCTGAAACGGCAGTAAACGTTTTGCACCAGCATGCAACCGTCCCGTTCGGCAAATGCTTTCGTCACACGGTAAATATTGTCTCTCCGAATGCGATAGATATGTAATCTTGCAAACATTTTACGTTATTGACAGCTGAGAGGTTCGGTGTGACATTTGGTTATGCTCTTTATTGCTGCGCTCGAGTTCCTCAAAGTGTTTGTTTTGCGTCCCACCCCTTGCCCTCGCACCGGCTCACGTTCCCACGGCGCCCGTCCGCTATTCACAGTCCTGCCTGGATCCCAGTACTCGGTCTTTGCCTCACACTGAATCCATACAAGTTCCGTGCCCCCATGCTACGCCCCCTCCCAGTCATTGACGGTTCGTACAGTGTGACCCCACTCCGTACCCCAGATCTGACAGTCCTCACGTCTCCGTCTGTGCAGGCGGCAGCTCGGAAAGCTCCAACTGGCGGGAGGACAGTCGCAGTGTGGAGCGGCGCGGCCGCGGCCGCGGGCGGGGCCGGCCGCGCGCGCGGGGCCGCGGCCGCGGCGGCTCGGCGGCCGCTGGCCTGGCCGCTGACGAGTGGTCCGGTCAGGACCCGCTGGAGGAGATGGCTGCCGACCTCGGAGCCAAGGTCAGTCGGCCGCCGGTCGGTCCGACCCGTCACACGGTGACGGTCGGACTGCAGGGGTCAGCTGCAGCCCCGCCGGCCGTATGGGACCGGCAGCCCACACAGTCACAGTGACGGGCCGAGATGGTGTCGACGAGACCTTGGATACCGCTAATAGAAACGATTTAGCAAAGCCAGCTCCCATATTTCATCGAGTTAGCACACTAATGACGCGTTTGGATATATTGGTTAACACCTAAAGAACATATTCTTTAGGTGTTAACTTTGTCTTAACTGGGTCGGGTTTTCACGTCGGCTCCTTCCGTCTTATGCACAGTTTCTCGTAAAAGCAAACTGAGCAGACTGCCAATCCGTAACACATGTGTTCATTGTTCAGTGAATGCGCAGAAGGTTAGACTGTCAATTCAGCATATTCGAGGGGAATCCTTTGTCGGCATCGCCCACCATTCTGTCAGGGTCTGATCACCATTCGTCACTTTGACGTTGCAGCTAGCATATGCGATGTTAATACTGCGAACACCCTGTATGTCAGAACTCATATGCCACTTTTGACCGAAACTGGTAGGCGTCGCCCTGCGCCTGACTTGCGCCTATTTTCCGTTTGTCGGCTACCACCTGCGTGGTGTCCCGTATCGCCCATCTGACGCGCCTCACCTGTCACCTGTGTGTCGACACTGACTCTGACCTGCCGCCCTCGTCTGTCGCCGCCAGGTGCCCGAGTACCTGCGCTCCGACCCGGCCTTTCTCGACATGTACCACAACTACGTGTACCCGTCTCCCTACCTGCAGCTCAGCGACGTCGCGCTCAGAGAAGCCATCAAAAAACAGATGTACGTGAGAGCGGGTGACAGGGGCAGCCGTAGGAGCGGGCCGCCGATAGGGGGGGGGGGGGCACACTGGGGGAGGCCGGGAGGGGTGAAACGGTAATTTGCAGACTTCTGGGAAACGAACGGTTTGGTGAGCTGTGCAGCCAACGGTGGCCGGTGTGGACTGAACTATTGTTTGAGTCTCGTGGAAATCGCTAGTAAAATGTTCTCCCGCGGGGGAGGGTGGCAGTAATTCTGCTATCTGTGGGTTGGTGGTAAATTTGGCCCTGAAAATGAGTCATGGATGTCAGTTTGCTCTCATATCATAGTTTATACCCTTTCCACACCCCACAACTAGGCCTCGGGTAATGGTATCTTTTCATTTTGGTTATATCATCTTCACTTGTACTGTTTTTCAAGACGGCAAGACGAATGATGCCTTTCGCAGTTTCTATTTGGCAACACATCATTGCGTCGCGCACCTTGCGTTCCTGTCAGATTGAGAGCACCCGGTTGAAATTTGGTTGGTTAGCAACAACCCGTCCCCCTCCCCCCGTGCGACCGTCCATCTCACACTGACCCCTGCCTCCCCCCGCAGTGAGTACTACTTCAGCGAGGAGAACCTGCAGAAGGACTTTTTCCTGCGGCGCAAAATGGACGAGGAGGGCTACCTACCCGTCTCGCTGATCGCCTCCTTCCACCGCGTCGAGGCGCTCACCCGTGACATCAAGCTGGTCATCCAGGCCGTGGAAAACTCGGACGTGGTCGAAATCGCCGACGGCGTCAAGGTGCGTGCCGGCGGGGGGCTGCGTGTGTGTGTGTGGGGGGGGGGGGTTGCAGGGCGGGCTGATAGGTGACATGGAGACTTGGGTCGCGATGTCCTGCCTGATAATGAAATTTGTATGGTTACTCCGCACTCCCGCAGGGGACGCCAGGTGTCATTCGATAAGTACATTACTATGCTGACTGGATGGCATGGCAGCCGCTACTGGTGCGTCTTGAATATTGCACTAGCACTGAATACCCGCAATTGGCTGCCGTTGCGAAATCGTGCGGAAGAAAGATGTTACTGTAATGCCATGCAATATTCGGTTATTGATCTCCGGCGGCTATTGGCATTTCTGATCTCCGGCGTCACCTATTGCGTCAGCACCTCAGTTTTACCCTGCGGACAGCTAGACATCGCCCATCGGTGTCTAACCAGCTTGTTTGACCTGTCTGTAACCTCCCGCCGTGACCCGTGACCTGTGACCCGTGCCCTCAGATCCGCGCCAAGGTGGAGCCGGGCAAGTGGCGTCTGGCGCCGAACGCGCCGGCGCCGCTGGCCGGCCTGCTGCCCGGCGGCGAGCTGAACCCGGACGTGCCCGAGTTTGTGCCGCACTTTCTGCAGCAGTCGGCCCCGGCTGCCTCAGACTCCGGCTCCGGCCCCGCCGCCGCGTCCTCCGCCGACCCGGCGGCGGCCGGAGCCGAGCTGGCCGAGGAGGCACTGCCGCAGGAGGCGCGACGCGAAACTGGTGAGTGGAGGGGCGGGGTATGGAGGATAGTGGGGTAGGGGAGGGGACAATGGAAACACGTGTGTCTGATTTGCGAAGTGTTAGGTAATAGGTGGGGGACATATGATGCATTTATCTACATCTATGACAAATTATTGTACCTTCTACATCAATTGTTCAGGAGTTCTAAATACAGGGGCGGTGGTGTAATTTTTGTCTCACAAGGACAAGATAATTGAGCAGATCACTCATGAAGATCAGGCTCAGTTCCCTTCACGGTAATGTGTATTTTGCTCGTTATTTCTGGGAATACCCATACTTTGCTGCCCATCATTCTACCAAGCCTTTGTTTGATCTCAAATAGAAATGCGCCACATTCGTTCTTATTTTCTGGGCTCGTAAAATTTTCTTATTTTTGTATGCGCAGTAGCGATCAATGTAGTCGTTTTCCGATCTCTGCACTGCTCTTACCTCAAATGTCTTTTATCTCGCACTCGTCAATCCCAGACTCCGCTGAACCCCGGTGCCAATCCATTTGACTCCGGCACTGACTGACTCCAGTGTCCACTGACCTTGACTTTGACTGTGACACTGATGACATCTCCTGCCTGCACTGGAGGGCGCGGTGGTAGGTGTACCGGTGTGCCACTGTCACTGACACCCCTCCTCTGTACCTTACAGAGGGCGCGGTGGGTGTATCGGCTGGCCGCAGCTCATACCTGTCGCTGCTGACACTGACCCCCTCCCCTCTCTGTACCTTACAGAGGGCGCTATGGGTGTCCCGGCCGGCCGCAGCTCATACCTTTCACTGCTCAACTCGCCCCCATTGTCGTCCAGCGCGCCAGAGTCCGAATGGCGGCAGGTGAGGAACCCACGGACGGCGGCGGGACGCGGGAACGGGTCACAGGCCGCGAGGAAGGGCACTATGAGATGTTACGGACTCCGTATGGGATGTTTGGGAGATCACCAGGGTTTGGATGTTTGGGAGATCACCTGGGTGCGGGACAAGAGGTCTGCGAGGTCACGGGACTCGGGGACATGAAGTTTGGGAGGTTACAGGTCGCTTGCGGTGGATTATTATTTGTGAGCTAAGTTTCCATGGTGGTTTGGATACAAGCGCGCTGACTTACTTTTGAGAATAACGTATGCAGCTATACTTGACTTTTTGCGATCATCGGCGCAGGGAAGCCTTGGGTTGCGATCCGCTCAATTAGGGAAGTTTTGAATTGTGATATCTTACACATAGTGCTATTATATTACATAATCATGGTTATGTAAATATCATGCTGGGTTCGTGAATTTACCAACGTTGAAACAATGGTCTTCAATGAAGCATCAATCTGATTGTTCATTTTTACGCTTGTTTTCATTAAAACTGGGACGTATTTGTTGTCATTCCAATGCCACAATACCACCCTACCAGGAAAATGCAGTTCACCGTTTGACTTCATGAGCTTACACTTGTTTGGCTTTGAAGAGTTCAACTAATTGCTTCGTTGTTCTAAGTAACTATGTTTCTGCTGTGAGGACGATACATGAGTCAGGAGAGATACAAGACTGCATTAGAATTGACGCGCATTTCCTGTTTTGTGCGGGCTCCGTAATCTACTGTTTATGCCGCACTACATGAACTGATATATTTTAAAGTTTAGTCTGTGTCCTTTCAAATGTGGCCTACATGTCATGCTGACGACTGCTGCCTCGTCTTTGAGCAGGTACGGCGGCGCTCTCGCGAGCCGCGGCCCCGCGCCGGCGGTAACGCCACCTCGTCACCGGCGCCGGCCGTCGACGACCGCGAGGAGCTCAACTTCCAGTTTGACGAGGAGATCGAGTCCAAGGTGCCGGCCGGCGGCAGGAACAACACCTTCACCGACGACTGGTCAGTCATAACGCCGCCGCGGCTGCGCTGTGCCGGTGGAGGGGCGCTTGTCTGGTGGTTAATGGTTACCTTATTGAAGAGTTCTCTCTGCCAGGCTGGTAGTGGCTCGTCCGCCACTAGATCCTTGTAATGGGTCAATTCGTAAAAAGCAATTTTTTTTTTGTTTCTGGGTTTCCAACCTCTGGTTTCCAATAGAACTGCGTAAGTCATTTTGAAGAAGCAGCTAATTTTGCACCTTTCCTCGTATCTTTGTTTTATTATTTTATCGACGGGAGTCTACTTTCTTTTGTCTCGCGCTTTTAAATAGGGAAATTTCGAATAAGCATGAGCTTAGATCCTGACGCCTTTCTTTATTTGTTTTCTGTCCAGGTGGTAGGGTTATTGCGCAGTTCGGCGGTATTTGGTGCAATTTTATCGCAGGTTTATACACAATACAGTGAACTTCAATTTAATTCATCCTTTCGGAGTTACCAGCTTATTTTGTTTCGCCCGCCATTTTGGCTTTGAATATTCGCCATGAGGAGGAAATGGCAGAGAAAAAGAAGGCGAAGAGCTCGGTAAGCAAAGCATGGTTTGGGCAGAACAGCTGTTTTTGGCCATGAACTGGGCGCGACACGTGACGCATTTCCATCATCTATGTCTTGTCTTTTGTCTTGCAATATACGATTGTGAAGTTGGAAGGTCCAAGATAGCATAAAAGTTGAATCATTCACCTTGTATGTAATGCTGGTTTTCCGGCGAGCTCTGATCGAGACATCTTCTACCCAGGTCGGACGACGAGTCTGAGAACGATTTCCCGGACCGCGGCCTGGACAACCTGATGATCGTCACGCAGACGCCGCCGCCGTCTCGACTGCCGAACCGGCCTGACAAGCACGAGGGCCACGACCGGACCGGCGACTACATCTCCCGGGTCAAGATGACCCAGGACCTAGCGTCGGCCATCAACGACGGCCTCTTCTACTACGAGCGCGACCTCTGGGAGCAGCCCGAATGGGTGAGTGAGGCGCCTGGCCCGTACGGCAATCGATGTTTTTCTTGTGATGCTTTTGAAATAAATGCTTCTACAGAGAACCTTATCACACTAGTCTAACCTAAATTTACCGATGAGCACTCTGCCATTTTGATGGGTGTTGTTTATCAATACAAAGCTACTTTTTAACGTTTTGTATGTTTTTGTTGTATGTTGTATGTTTAATGTTCACTGTAATGTAGTGTTTAATTGTTGTTTGGTGTCCATCTCCAGGAAAATTTCTCAGTTCAGAAAAACGTATCTGTGATATCGAGCGAGGAGTTCAGCAAGATAAAGCCGCCGTCTCCGAAGGCGTCGAACCAGCAGGTGCCGCCGCCCCCTCCACCTCTCCTCCAGCCGCCCGCCGACGACTCGAACCTATCACGGTCGTTACCCGCCGATGTGAGTACCTGCACCCGTTCTTGAGCGCTTATTAGCCGTTGAAGAACAGAGTCTTTGTCTTAGTCATGACTTAGTCTGTTTCGCTAGTTTTTGTTTTCTTTTTCTTGCAGTAGCTCGCTCAGGGCAGTTAGCCGCAGGTAGCGCTCTATACCGCTCCCATTTCTCACAGCCAACCCAGTCTGTGCCCCAGCTGCCGAGGCCCCTCTATCCGCCGCTCTGACGGAGCTCCCTGCCTCGCCGCTGACAGATCCCGATGACGCCCAAGGGCGCCACGGGCCGGCAGGCGCCGACGACGCCGCGTACGCCGCATGGCAGCCGGCTGGACGCCAGCCAGGCGCCACGCTTCTACCCGGTGGTCAAGTCGAACCGGCCGCCCGACAAGATGACGCCCCGCAAGCGCAAGCTGCGCCACTCGCAGAACCCGCCGGTGGAGCACCACGTCGGCTGGGTGATGGACAGCCGGCGGCACCCGCCGTCGCGGCGCGAGCGCACCATCTCACAGACCAGCAACGCCAGCAACGTGAGCGGCACCAGTCCGTCCGAGGGCGGCCTGAGCACCAGCCTGGGCAGCACGCCCGGCGCGCTGCCGCAGTTCCAGCACCCGAGCCACGCGCTGCTCAAGGAGAACAACTTCACACAGCAGGTCTACCACAAGTACCGCGCCCGCTGCCTCAGAGGTGGGTACCCGACGAGAGATGGCAGGATGGTGGGACCGTACGGGTTTCTGGGGAATCGTTAAGAGTGTTGCTCGTTGCGAGTGTTGCATTCTTTTTGCTTTCTAATAAGGGCAAAATCGCGAATAGATGTCGCTATTCACTGAGCGTATGGCATCAAACTTCAGCGACAGAAGGGTTGGAAATTATCGTGTCGCCCAACGTCATCTGTGCCTACCAACATATCTAACCGCTCGACCCTGTCCACCCACAGAGCGCAAGCGTCTGGGCGTGGGCCAATCTCAGGAGATGAACACCCTATTCCGGTTCTGGTCGTTCTTCCTGCGAGACAACTTCAACCGTAAGATGTACGAGGAGTTCCGCCAGCTGGCTAATGAGGACGCCGTCGATGGCTACAGGTGAGAAGCGATCGGGGTGAGAGGGCTGATCCCTCCTGCGGAACTGGGGTCGGCACTCAGCACTGCCGTGTCTTACTAGCCTCTTGTAGATGCACCGGCACAGGCGAATGGGGGGGGGGGCTACATTTGCGGACGAATTTGAAAATGGTAGGGATGGTGAATGAATGAATGAATGCATGGGTGAGTGAGTGAGTGAGTGAGTGAGTGAGTGAGTGAGTGAGTGAGTGAGTGAGTGAATGAATGAATGAATGAATGAATGAATGAATGAATGAATGAATGAAGACTATTGAATAAGATTTGGGAGATCGTATGAAGACACATATGTTGTTTGGGTGAAAGAGTGTGCTCTTGAGTGCGATAGGGTGTGGAGATGAGCGATAGTATGCAGCTGGGACACATCGCTGAACGAGTCATAATTCGAGCGCACCTAATCATTCGGGCGAGTGCAGTGCATGAGTCCGATACTGAGATCGGGCGGCTGTTTGGCTGTGATATGTCCCGGTGATTAATGGTCGTTCGTTGTCCCCGCAGGTACGGACTGGAGTGCCTGTTCCGGTTCTACAGCTACGGCCTGGAGCGGCGCTTCAGGCCAGAGCTCTACATCCACTTCCAAGAGGAGACGTTAAAGGACTTCGAGACGGGTGAGTCGGTGACGGGCAACGGGCGGAAACTGATGCCGAGGATTTCAAGATTTATCAAACAAATGCGGTCTTCAAACGTGTCGACATACTCCAACGCCTGATTTTAATGACTCGTTTTACACCTTTTTCTCCACGGTGACGTTTTTGTCCGTTTTGCAGGTCAGCTGTACGGTCTGGAGAAGTTTTGGGCGTTCAAGAAGTACTACCGCCAGGCGCGCTCTCTGGACACGCTGCCTGAGCTGCAGGCGGCGCTCAAAGACTTCCGGCGACTCGAGGACTTCCGCGTGCTGCCGGTGAGTGGGGGACCGTGCGGCGAGTCAGTAGGTGGCGCTCACAATATGATCTGGCACATGGCATTGTCGTTGTGAACACTGACACATAAGTTTAGAACGTACAGCCCACCGCTAAAGTAATGTAGGGTTTTACCAATCTCAACGGTTGGCTTTGACTGGCGATTGTTTAATGCGGAGTGATCGAAAAGAAGATGTCAATAGATAAAGTTGCAGCTGCAAGGGTGACGATACATATAAGCTACATTCAAAGTTTCATTGTAGTCTGGCTAATCGTTCCTAAGCTTCAGAAGCAGAACATACCCATGACTGAAACCCCACATTACTTCTGCTGTGGACTGTACAGCAGAAAGGGTAGCTCGTAGTCACGGCTGACTGAACATAGGAGTGCTCGCCTTCAATTTTTTTTAATACCAGCTTCCTATCTGTTTAGAGGCTGCGGACTGTCGTCTGTCGGCTCAGATTGTAGTGAACCCGGCTTACTTATCACATTTCGTCCGTTTGCATATGAATTTGTGAGTATGTGATGGCGCGATCGGTTGGGTCCGTAGGTGCCGTGTTCACTGTTCAGTGTCGCTGTGGTCCGTGTGTGACGATGATGTCGCTGTCCGACAGCCGGCCGGCGAGGAGGACGGCTCCGGCCGCCGCAGTCGGCACACGTCCGACTCGGCGCAGGGCCGCCCGCGGCAGCAGGGGCGGCGCGGCACCAGCTCCGAGGCGGCGCGCGGCCACGGGCGCGGCGGCGGCCGCGGTGCGCGCAGCCGCACCACCTCGGAGGGCGAGGGCGGCGCGCACTACCGGCGGCAGCACCGCCACCTGGCCGGCAAACGGCCGGCGGCCCAGCAGCAGCAGCAGCAGCAGCAGCCGGCCAAGGTGGAAACCCAGGAGCTTAGGGCGGCGCCGGCCGTCAGCGCGTCGGCCTCCAGCTAGAGGGCCGGCCGGCCGGCCGACAGGTGTCGATGGGACGCAGGCCGGCGGTCGGGCGGGCCGCCCGGTGCCATACGGGGGCGGCCCGCCGGCCGGACGCCGGTGCCGGGTTTTCTCTCAGTGTTTTGCCGCCCGGTGCGGCGCGCAGGCGTTGTTTATCTTTGTGCGTGGCGGTCCGGCCGCCCAAGTGGCTCTCCCAGGCGTCCGGCTAAACGGGGGCGGCCCCAAATAAACGGGAGCCGCTTTCCCATGGGATTGTTTATGTAACCGTGGGAGGCGCGAAATGCTCTCCGTCCCGCGTCCGACCGCCGTCCGCCCGACCGTGCCCGGCGGCGCCGCCACGGTCGCTTTTTGCGTGGTTGGCGCGGCGCCCCGGCCCCTCCTGCATAAGTGCATTGGAATACCATCATTACGGGCGTCTGGCGGCGGGAGGCGCGGCTCCCGGTGAAAACAATCGAATTAATCGCCGCTGCTGCTGGGACGGCGGCGTCTGGCCGCCTGGTCCGAAGAAGGAGTGCCCTGCCGCTGGCACGGCGGCGGCGAGTACAATGGCGCGCGGGGTGACCGGCCGGCCGGCCAGCCCCGCCGCGCGCGACACGATCGAGAGGGGTCTCGAGCTGATGTGAGCCGACAATACGCGGAGGACAGGGAGCGGTGTGTTTGGCGTGTACAGTGCTGCCGATGGCGGACCGCAGGGATCTGGGCTGCCGTGATTGGTGGCGCGTCCGGTGCGCTCGCGGACTCTTACCGCACGTAGTGGCGTGTAGTGACTGTAGTGTGCGGTAACTATGGTGAAAAAGCAAAAAAAGATGCGCGCGGAGTGTCGCGCGCCGTTCGCCGCGCCCGATGAAGACAGCGCTCGCCGAGTGTGTGCGCGCGGTCGTGTGAGTGCGAGTGAACGAGTGAGTGAGTTGAGGATATAGCTGCGGCGCGCCGTTTTTTCTGACTTGTTGGTGTTTTGCGTCCTGTGGCCGGCGGTGTGAGGCGGGAGAGTGAGAATATCAGGCTGTTATGTGGTTGGTGCGTGGGCCGGGTTGGGGACGACGCGGCGCCATGGCCGGTCCGTGCGCGGCCGGCCGGGCGGCGGACCGCGCGCCCCGCTACCCACTGACAACCCACGGTCTGCCCACAGTGTGCGTGCGCAATCCCGGCGGGTTTTCAATTAATTTGGGTCCAAGATAACGCTTTTTGGTGACGTCATTTATTTGGTGTGGATGCCTGCCAGCACGCGTCGTCACGACCTTTCTCCGTCAGGTTTTCGGCCGGCGCTCGACTGTCGGGTGCCGCCAGCGCAAGAGCGCGTTTTTGTTTTGTAGGCTTCTTGTGCGGCTGTTCTCTGTTTGCTGTCCGTTTCTCGGTGCCTTTCTCGTGTGGGCGGCTGGCGGGCGGGCGGGCCGTCGCGGCCCGGCCCCCCGCCCCCGCCAGCACCCTGCGCGCGCGGCCGTGGCCGGCGCCGCGTCGGCCGGTGGCCGCGGACGGTCCGGGCCGGCGGGCGCCCGGCTCGGCCGCCGCCTCTGGCTTCTCTCTGTCTCCGGGGACGGTGGCTGTCTCCCTGCTAGCTCGTCCGACGCGTCTGTGTCGCTGTCGCGCCTGCGGTGCCTTTATATGGTTGAGGGTAAATGTGGAGTGGATCGATAATTTCTTGCTAGTGGGAGTCTTGTAATTATAGCAAGGGATTGCGTTGTAATATAGTATGACCGAAAATCACAAATATGCGTTTTTATGAGGTAGCTGAGACGACATTATCGTCCTGATTTCTGGCTGATTCAACCCTCGGAAGTTCGTCGAAATGAAAGAAAGGCTTGTGCTAATAGCAGGTCCGATTCCGAATTTATTGCACTGGATGGAGCCACTGCGGTAGTGGAACAGTATGAAGACTGATGGTGAGCTAAGAGCTTCCTGATGGTTCGTTGAATCGATCACTATAACGAGCATGAACTGTTCACATCGGACCTGCAGAAAGGCCCTAATAGGTACACAAACGGGACATCAAGCCAGCTACTCGTGTGGCACCGTGGGAAGTTTTTCGATCAATACCTGCCCGGGACAAACCATCGCTAATGGCCAGGAGCTCCGACATAGGCAGCCTCGCACCGGCCCGGGACCGGAACTCAGGTGCACACAGCACACCCTCCTCCAGGGGTGCCGCTGGATCCGTGGTACATCTCCCGTCGCTCCAGACCCGTTTCCGGCCAGTGCCGTCTCTGACCTGGGTCTGTTCATGTAACAGACGTCTGCTTATGACACGTCTGTTTCCCTGATTTGTTTGCTCGTACGACCCAGCCCCAGACGGCCTGTCTGCTGGCTGCTCCCTCTGAGTCGTGCATCATCTGGGACATGCGTGGGGTCCCGGGTCTGGGTTTGTATGCGTTCGTGCTTGCTCAGTGCGCCCCGAACATTTCCGCCTGACCCGTGTCTGGCAATTGTCGCCAGTTACCTTGGCCTAGGCCCAAGGGCTCGGTTCCTAGTGTAACAACATCCGCCTGGCCGGGATTCGTTTTTCACGTTTTCTCCGTGTGCCCCTGGTCTGGATTTGTTTCAATGGTGTCTCCGTCAGCTCTGACCGGTGCCCGCCCTCTCATGGCCGCGTCTGCCCCGGCTGTCCCGGGCCGTATTCCCGCGGGCTCCACCTGGCCCGCTGTGACCCGCGCCGCTCTCCCACACCCCGTGTGACCTGCATCCGTCCCGGGGCCGGCGCCCCGTCGCTCCGCGCCATTATTCAGCGCCACTGGCGCCGCGTCGCCGCCCGTAAATCGTCGGCCGTCGGCGGCGACGCGCCGGCCGAGTCCCGTCGGCGCCGACGGCGTCTGACTCGACGGGCTCCTCAGGCATCGGTGAGCGTGGCTCCATCAGCGACAACTGTACGGGATTTCCTACACGATCGATCATTCTTTCCATCACTTCTTAGGCTACCAACGACCGAAGTACTCTCTCAATGCATCACCTACCAAAGCATTTGTTGTATCATGGTTGGGGTGCACTGCTCTGCTTGAGTATCTTGCAGGGGCGTCGCCGACGGGGGGGTCGGGGGGGTCGTGACCCCCCCACTCTTGAAAACTGGGGGTGTCGACCCCCCCACTTTTTGCGATGCTGAGTATGCTTTTTTAGCTTTTATGTCAGTGAAGCAGGCGTCAGCAACACCAACAAATACATCAGATTCAGAATCGCTTCAAGAGCTCCCTAAAGCCAATTAGCCAATTACCTGAAGTTCAATTAGCATGGGCGGGGAACACCAGCACAACAATATTTTTAAGTAGCCACCATTCTAGTACCTTTTTATCCCTCAAAAGATTGGACCCGCCAAAACTGCCCCGAGCGTTCGTCTGATCGTTAAAAAAAATGGTCGCAGTCGATTCGTCGGATCAGTACCTAACTACAAAACTACAAACTAGCCTCAGCCCCATGGCTACCGTCACAACTAGCTGTACAGTGCACATGTAGGGGAAAGGGAGTCAGATGAAACCGTCTCGGGCTTTCGCAAAGAAGTCGCGCAAAAAGGAGCCGATTGCAACGAAACTTCCGGTGCGCTCGAGTTAATCACCTACTAAAAATAAATCGATATCCCTGATTCAAATAAAGATGACCTTGGTTCACTTTTTCATAACATGCTTTTAATTTAGGTATAGGAAAGTTTTTGGAGCTGATTTTGAACTTAGCGCCCATCTGAACATTTAAGAAGTAGTTGTGCTGCTTATACATATGTATAACATGTTAGGAAGCAATCGGTGGTGGTCATCCACTATTAGGTACTGGTCGATCTGACCTGACCTGATCTACCCCAAATGCATGGAGTCATCGTCTTCGTTCAAAACTAAGATAACATTCGTAATCAGAACCTCGAAAAACCGTCACAACTGACATTCGCAAAGTTCTAGCAGGTCCCGAGTTTCCCTACTTATTGGCGATGACCTGAGTCCTGAGATGACCCGAAACCTTGTAAATGGGTATCATCGGCTTTCTCTCGTCACGGGCAGCATGCTCTTTTCCCGCAAACCTCTAGATCGATCAGGGGTCGAAAGCATACCTCAGCGGTACTTTAGTATACGTTATACGTTAGCGACTGGGAACCCACCAATAGAAGGGCTACAGTGAAGCAGAAAACATTTCGATAGCTCTTTCAACGCTCTTTCGCTAGCTTCGTGTCAGATTTCATCTCAGGTCTATGTTTTGCCCATAGAAGGCAAACAGCTAGCTGGACAGATTCTGCCGAAACATTTGCTTTGCAATAACTTTAGATTCCGTGAATTTGTTTGGTATTTACATATGTTGTCTTGTCACCACCGTGTTTATTTCTTTGAGACGCGTCACATGAGTTAAAATTTGACCATTCAGAATTAACGTTAAAACGACCTCAGGTCAACGTTATGTCATGATCGAAAAAGGACCTCCTGCTGCATATGAATGGATCCGTGTTGTTGAGCTGAACAGTGAACACCTTCCAGGTGCTGTCATCGCTCTACCGCGTCTTCGTCAAAAGTTGTAGAAAAAAATGCTGGTGGCCATCGATGGACATTTCCACTAATGACCTTTCGAGACATCACTCGCCATTATAAGTTGCACCCTGTCCCTGGCAATGATGAGCTGATTTGTCATGGCTCCAAAGATATTTTGCGTTTCTGACGAACTTTTTCAAAGCAGGAGGCCATCGTGCTTTTTCTAATTTCTCATTATTTTCTAATGATGAGGTCACGTATTTGACCTGCCTCCAGATCATAGATGCAAATCCTCAGAATAATGAATTGCTGATACGTATAACCCCATACATTAGGTATACAGTGTACCAAATTTCGAAGTTATGGGAGAAAAGCTACAAGAATGGCGAGAGGAGAAAGTTTGATAGAGGTATACCGTATAACTGAACTTGACATGGCGACCTGACCTTAAGTGACCAGTGATAATTTTTACGCAAGTGATGTAGGTAGGTATACCTACCTAATAGGTTAACCAAATTTCGCGGCGCTGCGCGCCGATTTGTTACACGCGCGCACACACACATACGCACGCACAAAACTGGGAAGTGTGGCAAAAAAAAAA